AACAATTATTTTCTAAAGTCAACATATTATGAAAATATAAGAACCGCCTTACAAAATTTAAAAAAAACCATGAACAAATTACATGATTATAAAATCTCTATTCCCACTATAGCAGCTGGACTGAACAAACGAAATTGGTCCAGAATAAAGCAACTAATTTACAATGAATTCCAAAATTGTGATACAGAATTACTGATCTGCCACAAAACCCAAAATCATATAACAAGTAGTTGGAAAACAAAAGAACACGAAAAGGTTATTAATTTAATACGTGATCATTACCATTATAATAAAATAATTAAAAATCTTAACAACATTAACGATAATTTTAACAATAAAACAAAATTGTGTTCTGACAACTTCAATGTTAACAAAAACATCAATAATGAAACCGATGACACTAACAAATTAGAATTAATTTACAATTATAATTCAACCAAAAATTTCAACGAAAGTAACGAAATCAATTCAATTTTTAACAACTATAAAGCCGGCGAGAATGTCCCGGAGATGGAAACTGTGGTTTCTATATGCGTTATGTAACGCATTGAATGATAATAAACAAGTCAAAATAACCTCCATATGTCAACTGTTAAAAATATTACAATTATCTGACCTTCCAGGTCATTGGTAGTCCGACAATGAATTGACCTCCATTGCAAACTATTATAATCATGACACTTACATTTTCGACGAGACTTCAAAAACAGCCGTTATCCACTGTGATAAAAATTACAAAAGACCCCCTATCGTTCTGTACAATACAAATAAAAACACACACTGGATCCCAGGCACTTAATCCATAAATCCTTCACTTAAAATACCGCACAATTATATTGGAATAAACGACTTTACACCCTTACAACAAATAATCACAGAAATAAAAGATAAATACCAAGATATAAAGAAACCTATTGTAAATAACGAACTCAAAGAAAATATATACGTAACAAATGTAGACCATATTATTACAAATAATGCTGTCAAAGAAATTATATACGATAATGAAGGCACCCCGATTAAAATATCCCATAAATTAAATCAGAAATATTGTTCGATACAGAGTTTACAAAAAAAAAAATGAATAAAAATGCATACTTTACTAAAATGAGACACAATATATGTATGTTAAAAAAATAAGTTTTATTTTAAATACATATTTTATTGATTGTTATTTTAATATTTCATAGATTATTTAATTGGAAATATACTCGTATTTATGAATATAAATATGTATGCACACACAATATAAATAAAATCCTAATAATAATAATGTATTAAATTATTACATTAAACAAATTAAAATAATACAAATAATTATAACAATTTGTTAAATTAAACATCATTAAATTTATCTTCGCCAAATATGGGAACACACAAATTACATATTCCCCCAATTATAGTAATAATATCATCCATCAAATGAGCATGAGCCCATGGAAATTTATTTTGTAGAATTTTGAAAGTTTTTAACCTTTGATTAATACGCTCAATATGGACCCTTGCTTTGGCAATGTTTTTTGTAAGTAAACTTTCTTCTTTTGTAAATTTATTTTTATTTCTTAAAAAAGGTGGCCTTATTACTTTAATGCTTTGACTATCACAAATTGTATCTATTAAAAAACCTTTGTCCACCATTACTGCATCAAACTTGGACATTTTATTAACAAGTCCACTTTGCTCAAAAATGATTTTATCGGACGCTCTTCCACCGTAAGGTTTACTTATATATGTGATAAGACCACCAGGTGATATCCCCACTAAAAATTTAAGAGTATATGTTCCCTTATAGTTACTATAAAGTTTTATTCTACAAGAAAGACATTTTGGTGACTGTACAGATATTTCTGTACAATCAAGAACAACTTTAGTTTCTTTGAAATTTTGAAAATATCTGGGCATGTTTGATATGATCTCAGTTTTACTTGGCCAATATATAAGGGGTCTTAATATATTTGCTAATAGAGGTATGAATAAATTGTACAAAGCCCTGAATGTTTCACCTGAAACAGCTTTAAATAAAATTGCTAAAACAGCAAATGACAAATCTTGTTTAAGTTTTATAAAAACTAAAATTAATCTTTCTTTAATACTCAAATGATGACACCTAGTATCTGGACACTCTTTTGAAAATAAATAAATAATATGATCAAGTATTTCAAATGTGAGGATTCCTGTCATAGTATTTAACTTTTTTGATGTGTCAATTAAAGATACAAATGGTACAAAAATATCGCCACTAGTAACTTGTACTTGAGCATCAGCTGACGAGGGATGGCGACACTGGAGGGACAATTCACGTTTTTCTACCCAAGTCGATCAGGATTTCGCTTAGTGACATTTTGGAATATAATGTGGGGAATGTACCTAAGGTTTCTTTAATATATAAGGGGAAAAATAAAGGTAGGTTTATTATAGATTTTCAGTAATAAACATGGTTTTATTCCTCCTCCTCCTACCTTCTATATCAAAAAATGTATATGTAATTTTCGACAAAATAAAAATAATAACTTATGAATACTTTTTTTTTATTATTATTATTATTTTAAGGTTTATCCTAATCCTATTATTGGTGTATAATATGTAAGTGACTGTATTTTTGAAAAATCTAGTTATTCAATAAAATTATATACATTTAACAAGTTATAAAATGTATTTATATACATCGAAATAATAGGTGGTGGTTTTTAAAAATATTTTATTTTATATTTATAAGGTTATTATATTATTTAATAATCGATATTTTTAAACGCATTTAATGAGTGGTATACATTTTAACAAGTACCTAGCTGTGTAATATAATTATTCTCTCCGAGATTATATGTTGTCTTTGATGCAGACTTGGTGTGATATTAATATTAATTGGTATAGAAATCTGTTTGAAATATTTAAAAAATAAAATAAAATAAAAAATCAAAAGTCTTAAGTATTTTTATCAAGATATTTTATTTACACTTATAATTGTTCATACATAAAATTAGTTATTATTTTTTTTTTCCAATGTACAATTCTGTACACACGGCTCTCGTCGTATCTACCTCCATCGGAGTAATCGCTCGGATGAAATGATTGGGCGTCGTCTGAAAATATAAGATGTGATTTTTAAAAAAATTAATTTTATTTATATATTATTAAGACTCACTTGATAAATCTGCGTCACATGGAAATTGCCCGGATAAAAAGTCTAGTATAAGTGGTGAATCTGCGTCTCTTGTCGACCAGGGGAAACGTTGACCGGCATCGAATCCTAGTGAATAATAGGTATCCGACACCCCATATTCCATGACTTGGAGCGTGTAGTCCTCCAGTCTGTATGTATCAGGGAATAATTGCGGGGACTAAAAATAAAATAAATTTAATAAGGTAGTATAAAATGTTAGTCGAGAAACTTACCAAGCATTGTGTCGTGGGGACATCGTCGAAAAATGAACACGAGGACGACATATTAATGACTTGTTATTTCACGTTGAGTACGATTGCAAATGTCTGTCTCTGAAGACTACTGGAGCACCAGCGATCGCGGCAGCGGATTCCCGCGTGTAGGAATATAAGTTTTCCCTACCTCTCATCGGCGTTTTATCACGGTGAGAATTAGAAGGGATTTTTAAAAATAATACTATCAACACCATGGTATACGTCCGACTAAACATGATAGAAGATAAGAATGGTAAGATATGAATTTTTTATTGAACGCAACACGTGTGTCGTCATATCACCCTCATGCACTGCGTGTGCGTTATATTTTTTAAGGGGTGATGTATAGTTTATAAATATATTCAACTCTATACAGTATGTGGTGAAACACGAGGAGTATAATATTAATTTTAAGGGGTGATGTATAGTTTATAAATATATTTAACGCAATGCAACATGTACCGAGACACGAGGCGCGTAATACATATTATACAATATAATACTAAGAATACACGACACGTGATAAGGCTAAGCGTTTCTTACTACGGTAGTATCAAAATAATAATAATAATAATAATAGTTATGATAATTTTAAAATGGTATTATATTATATTTACAGCTATGCAACAGTTTAACAATAATAATAATAGTACAAAATCAATCATTTATGTGATAGTGTCCGTGCGCGAGCGTATTAATTCTATCGGGTAGAATATATCGTTTATCGTCTGCCCTGTTTAAGATGAGCTTCATAGCTCTAATTGTCTGCACTTCATGCTTAAACGACCGTATAGAGATATTTTCTCTGTACGGCGTGAAAGGCATATAACTATAACAATGTGACGGGTGTACGGGTGTTGACGGTGGGTGTGTTGCGGGCGTTGAGGCGTTCCGTTGTATTTGAGTTACAGCTTTAAGCGCAGAATCGGCTGCGATCATTTTTCCCATGTTAGTGTCGAACTCTTCGTCACGCTCGTCGGAATCCGCGTCGTCGTCAACGTCAGCGAATAAACATCGCTTATGTTCGGCGAACGTCAGGTGATTACGAATCACGTGCCTCATAACACCCTTAGCACGAATGCAAACGTCCTGCTCCACGTCGTACGCGTAAGACTTGGCACGCAGCGCTACGAATTCGTACACTGTGCGGGAATCGGTTTCATTTTTGAACAAGCCTGGAATCCGTTTCTTAACAGTTCTGCCGCATTAAACCTCAAAAGGGTATCTCCAAATATTGAAATGTTTGTAAAATGACATAACAAGTTTTGGAATGTAATGAACTCATGCGCTGTTCTTTGAATCATAGTTGACAATTTTTTTTTTTCAATATACTAATTATTATCCGTAGAATTGATTGGTGATATTTTCAATTGTCCAACATAACTCTAAGTATAAGATAATGGACTTACCCTTAAACTTCTAATCAGAATAAGAAGCTAAAAAACAGTAAATTCACTATACTGGAGTTACTGTGATTTACTTTAAAAATTAAAGATTTATTCAAGATATTAAATACAGTAACTCCAATCAGTATTTAAAAAATTATAATTTATGCATTGAATAATACCAAATATTTTGAAAATCATATGAAAAAATTTAATATTAAACTAAAAGAAAAAATTTTAAATAAAAAACAAAATTTCTTAAAATGTCTTCCTTGACAAATGCATATATAAATTAGTGTTAATAAAAACAAATATATAGGGACTTAAAAATATTTAAAAATAACAATCTTATTTTTAATCAACACTTATTATACGTCAGTATATAAAACTTAATAAAAATAAATAAATATAAATCAGTCTCCTTCTTCATATAGGTCATTTGCTGTTTCTGAAGTAGGAAAATCCAACCAAAACTTCCTCCGATTTTGTGGCATTAAAGGTAATAGAACTTTGATAATACTTTGTTTTTTTGAAGGATGGATTCCTCTTGGGCTTACTTTTTGTAGTGGTTGTTCAATGCCTTTTTTTAACGTGGATTGCTTAAGAAAGTCAAGTTGCTGAAGTGGTGAATAATCGTCATAGGTAGTGGAATACATTAAGTAATCCAATCCTCTTTCGGCTTTAATATGAACTATGTCATTTAACATAGGCCTATCTAATTTTTTGTTTAATTTATATACCGAACATTCTGATTTGAAATCAAAAAAGTCTTCTACTCTCATAACTTTGGCATCAACAAAACCTTTGTTAGCTGATTTGATACATTGTTCAAAATCAGAATAATCATATATTTTTCCCATTTTTTTCATAGCCAACTCAACCTGGTGATGAAAATGGTCGGCAGACATAAAACTATGCCCGGGCTGGAAATAAAATAAACTAATTTCTAGAGCCTGGATATCTTGAGAATTAATTATTTGAACTAAGAAGGTAAGAAAGCACCAATTTTTGTTTTGTGCTGAACAGTTATCCAGCCAAATTGTTATTTTTTTCATGTCCTTGAAATATAAAAAAAATGCACGAAAACAACTAGTTAAATCTTCTTGTTTCCTTCCTTGTATACCCTCGTGCCATATTATCGCTAATGGCTTAATACATCCTTTGGGGCCAATCGGTACAAAACTTTCATTGAAAGCAATGACCCTTTTGGTAAAAATAGCTGCCTTAAAGTTTTCCATTCTAGGTAACATAATAACTTTTTGTAAGTCAGCCGATACATAGATTTCATCATCTGTGAAAATAAAAATACATTTAGCTATATAATTAATACTGTTTTAATAGATTTTATCTAAGTTTGTATTACCTTTCTTTTTTTGAACGGCATGGCTCTCATACTTAGCTCGAGCATTTATATATTTTTCCAAGTGCAAAGTGTATTTTTTGCAAATATCACAAATATTATACTGTTCATTTAATGTTTGTTTTGTGTGTGTTGAATCATGTTGATCAAATAATTCACAAAGTTCACACTCTTCATGGCCTAGTTTGGTAAAAGATATATTCATTTCCCTTAATGTTCTTCTATAGACATCGTATGAAAATTTAATGGCTGGATTTTTTTCTTTAAAATCAGAATACATGTAGGTCGCATTGATTTCATTTGGCAAGTATTTCCTGTTGGGAGCATGTTCCCTCCTATAATGAGCCACTGTTGGGTTGAATGAATTAATGTGTTCCTTTATCGGTTCTAAATCACATTTGTTCCATGCAGTTCTAGTTATTTTATTCAAAGGAGACACAATTGCACTTTTTTCAGTCATATTTGAGCAGATATTTTGAATAAAATAATCATTTTTTGATGAAAATCCCAATGTTGCAAGGTAAAATAATTTACAAACATATACTTTAATGCCATCCAAATTTGTAAGGGTATAATAAAAAGACCATTTTTTTCTTATTTCATCATGTCCTCTTCTACGCTTAACATCTCTTCGTTCAACTGAATTAATTACATACATCCTTTGTTCATTTTTGGACACACTCCAAAACTGTTTATTAATTTCAAGTCTTAATATTTCAGGTATCAGTGTAATACAATTTTTTTTACATGAAATACAGGGGGGTTTCAAATTGTGTTTCTCAACTTTTTTCTGAAATTTAATTTGATTTCGTTCTCTGACACTGGTCAGATGTTTATTGCGTTTCCTTTTTGTCCCTTTTTTTGTTAAATCGTTGTGCTCATTTTCATTGCTACTACCCAACTTATCCTCATCCTCATCCTCACTTTCAGAAATATGATCAATGATACCATTCTGTGTTAAGCTGTTGTACTCATTTCTATTGTTATTACCAATTTGAATTTCATATTCGTCACTCCCAGAAATATATGAATTATCATCATCGATTGCACTATTCTGTGAAAGAAAAAAAATGTTTATACATACTTAAAATATTAAATGTATGGGATATGAAGCAGGTAATAATACATCATTTTGGTTCTCTTGTTCTACTTCAAATAATATATTTTGATTCTCCAGTTCTACTTCATATGATATATTTTGGTTAACTACATAGTTATTTTGAGGTAAATTTTGATTCTCATATTTGTCACTTCCAGAAATATATGAATTATCATCATCGATGGCACTATTCTGTGAAAGGAAAAATGTTTATACATACTTAAAATATTAAATGTATTGAAAATTTGTAAAATCTAAAATTAAGAAAGGTTAGTTAATTACCTTATCTCTTTTGGAATATGAAGCAGGTAATAATACATCATTTTGGTTCTCTTGTTCCACTTCAAATAATATATTTTGATTTTCCAGTTCTAATTCATATGATATATTTTGGTCAACTACATAGTTATTTTGAGGTAAGATTTGATTTTCATATTTGTCACTTCCAGAACTATATGAATTATCATGATAGATGACACTATTCTGTGAAAAAAACATATTTTATACATTGGTAGTTAAAAATGTTAAATGTATGGAAAATATAAATAGGAAAATCTGTAAAATCTAAAATTAAGAAAGATTAATTAATTACCTCATTTCTTATGGAATATGAAGCAGGTAATAGTACATCATTTTGCTTCTTTTGTTCTACTTCAAATAATATATTTTGGTTCTCCTGCAGTACTACTTCATTTAATATATTATTTTGGTCAATTATAGAGTTGTTTTGAGGTAAATTTTGTAGACAATATTGGTCTAATACCATAACTTTATGATTTGCATATGCATAGTCTGCACTCTACAACGCATAATATTGTTGATGTTAATTTATAAGGTACCTACTTATATTAATTCATGAATTTAGTAAATTGAATAGATACTTACTTTTTTAGTTTTAACTCTGTGATCTGTGGCCATATTCAACATTTTCCTTGTACGACTATTTATTTTATGTATACTTGAGGAATGTCGTTAGATTATAATAATATATTTAAAGAACTCGACAAATTCCATCGATAAACGAACAACTAACAAGCAGGAAAACCGAAAAACTATACGTACCTTATCACAGAATAATATTGTATTTCTATTTCTGGTATTAAACTGCACCAAATATAAATATTATAAAATATTATCTGAACTCAAATATAGTGTTACCAACATAATGTGTTGTAGTTATAACTTGTAACTATGTATTTTAATCTTAGGATTGATGTACCTATCATTATAAATTATAATTTAATACTTATCATTATTTATACCAGTTGCAAAATGTATGGTAATATTATGGAGATTGGAGATACTGTTTTCAATAGAAATGAAAAAATAAGCTTTTTTCACGTAACTCCAATAATTTACATGTCACATACCCTATTTTTGCTAATTATTAGGATTTACTGTGAAAATGCTTCTGTTCTGTGAATATTTATGGACATACCCTTATTATTACTAATTTAAACATGTGTTTTAGACAAGAAAAAAATGGATATACGACATTTTGGCTTCTGAATTTGATAAAATATCACTATATAAACCCATTTACCTAATAAAATCATTTTGACCAAAATTGGAGATACCCTTTTTTGGCTTAGCACGGCAGAGTTGAGTAACACTTGTGATCGGACGGTAGATTGGAGGTATCCATAAACCGCATAAGATTTGGATTGGCTGCCAAGTCATCGTAAAAATCTTTTGTCTCCACACGGTAGAATAGCGAATCTGAAACACACAATAATAAAATATGATACATAATATATATTTTTTCTAGAATGCATATTTTATTATAAACGCACCAGTATCGGTATACAACAACTCAATCCTATCTCCATAATGACGCTTCATGACGTCATAATGAAATCCGTACATTAAAACTTTACTAAGTTGTAGTACGGTTAATCCTATGTAGATAGGCTTGCAGAAATCCACTTCTTTACCGTGTTGAGTGACCACCGAGAGATTTTCATTGTAAGTCGTACAATATTTGAACGTCGGTCGATTTATGAGCTTCCGCATTCTACGCGGGCACGAAACAAGCTCTAAGTCTAATCGGCAACGCATGTTCTCCATTGTTTTCCCTACATACACACAGTAGACGTTATGTAAAGTTTAAGTAGTTCAAAGTTCGGAAAAAAAAAAAAAAATTTTTCGTAAAATTTATAAATAACATACCGAACACCGAATTGTTTAAATTTTTAAAAAACTTTTCTTCGAATTTGTTGGTCGCCCGCTTACGTAATTCGGTGTTGAGGTTTATGTACGGAGCCATCCATGGGGATTGTCGGAATTCCAATACTCGGTGCGTCTGAAATGTACGAAAAAGTAATAAGATGCGCATGCACATAATAATAATAATGATAATATTAATAATTACTTTTTCTACTAAGACGCCGTGAGCCATGGCCTGTTTTAAATTCATATAATGAACTACATAACGTTCTTTCCTCGAAAAAGTGACCATCAACTTTTGCACGGTTGACCCGCGCGGTATGCTGGCGTGGGGCAAGAACGGCATATCGTTGTGGGCGTCGTGTAGGTGTTGAGGATACGAAATGTCGACTTCGTAAAATCTACCAATGTCATCCGTCTCGCGCATCCATTGTAGCTGGTCTAGGGCAACTTCGGGGTTTCCCGGGTACCACGTGAAATCGCTAATCGGTATATATTTACACATCGCGTACCCATACAAATTATAAGCTAGAAGGGGAAAATCGGTTAATATACATGCGGATATATAATTTATATTTTATAATCACCATCTAAGTATATGAGGGACGTGTTGGGTTCGTCGGCATTATATCCTGGCGTCTCCGGATTGTTTGCGCGAGCGTAACGCTTGCTGGCTTGCACCAGGCCACCACGCGTACCGGACTCTATGAAGAGTATTTTCTCATAATCATCTAAAAGAAAAAGCTCAACTTTCGTAAGTTTCAACATACAGTCAAAGCTGAAGCCGGGTAACGTGAAGTATTGTGCCGGGTCCAGGTGATATGTGGTCATGCATATATCCCTGACATTTTCGAAGATATCGGCGCTGATCAGCACATCGATTTGTAGATACAAGTCGCTATATTCGCCTAGCGAAGAGCAGTCAAAATGGGACCAAACCCGAGTTGCATGATCGTAGTCTTCGTCGCACACGTGCGTCTCCGTCAACGCGCTGTAGAATAGAAACTTGTCCGGTAACGATGGTACTTGTAATTTATCCCACGAATCCGTGTATTCATACGGATATACGCCTTTCCGCGTGGCCATGGACATCTCCGACGGGGCGAACACTTTCGCGACTTCGCGAAATTTATCAAAGTTCGCGGAGGAGAGGTTCTCCGCCAAGTGTGCCAAGCTCGACGCCATGAAGCGACACGTGTCTACAAACCTGACTGAGAACGTGTTGTTTATAAATTTCGAAAACGAAATATATTTCTCCTCAGTGTTCGCGATTACCGATATTCGATTATTGTCGTCGTTCGCCAAATTTGTAACGATGAAATGCGCGTCGTAGTTGGACAAATTATGCAGGAAGCATGGTACAAATTTTGGTGTTTTCAACTTGAGGTTGCACGTGTTGCATAACGTTTTTAAAAAACGTCCAGACAAGTGGTCGTGATGTGCAGTTTTACAGTTGCGTTCGCTAAACGCACAGCTGCATAAGTCGCACATTATCTTGGCATCGTGCACCTGACAATCCTCAACACTCATAATAATCGGTACAAATACTTCCTTATACAATCTGGCTATTTTTTCGGCCACACCAAGTACGTCGCGAACAAAACGCTTTGCCACATCATCTTCGGTCGCAGAACCACGGAAAATGGCCGATACCCTCGGTATGTCGAACTGATCGAACAACTCTGTTGGTACGCCCTCCGCCGCGACAACATGGTACCCGTAGCTCATTGGATGGTGATCGTGTATTGCGGTGGTATTCGCGCCTTGTTTCCGGTCCGTTTTCAGTAATAAGGCTTCGAAATCTGCGTACACTACGAACGGCAGCCGCTCCGTCTTATACCGCGCCTCGAATTTCAGCGTATCCCCCTCTTTCGGCATCAAAGGAACAATCGGTTTGTGCGCGCCACACAACAAGCGATGCTCCACCAACGCTCGCTCGCCGTACGATTTATATTTTAATGGGCGGTCCTCAAAACTAGCGAAGCACCGTTTGCAGTAAAATAAGCGATGTTGATGATTATTTTTTTGCGGGCTGGCTAGGCGTGAAAAATTCGATATATACGCATAGTGATTATTACCACCCTCTCCGGTGATTAGTAGTAGGTCGAAATGGTTTGCCTTTTCCTCCTCTACGACGCGCAGTGGGTATGCGGCAGATTTTGCGATCGATTTTTTATTTTTTTTATATTCTACACAATTTCTCACACCGTATACATTTACTGTCGTACCCGGATTCGACCTTTCAAATAATTGTATCTCCGACACGGGAGTGGGAGTTGACAGCGCAGAAAAGTCGTAACGATGTTCTTCCCTCGAATAATTCATGCCCACTCGTGTGCGATCGCTAGACACATGTTTGGCGAGAATCGCCCACTTGAAACATTGACGGTCGATATTTTGAGGGTTAACAACGGCCTCCCGACTAAGAATACTTTCCGGCAACGGTAAGTACGACGATCCCCCCATAGGCGTATACTCGTACACACCCAAGAGCAATCCGTCGATGCACGATAAGGCGAACCCACTGTATTTCCCGGCGTACGAATCTTCTTCGGCCTGGAGCTATGCGAAATCTCGATCCAACAAACCCTCGACATTGCTGTGCGCATAGAGTTCGCGAGCTGAAGTTTTAAACGCCCGATTTTGAGCAGAATTGTCCAAGTTTGGTATTACGTATGTGGCCTCTAATTTAAGATTGTATTTAATGGGATTAATACGAACGCACTCGCGTAATTTCGTGATTAATTCTATTTTTTATTAACTCTATCGAATTGAGGAACGCACGATAACTAGCTACGTTATCAACGTTCTTCCTAAAATACCATACGATTACCCGTTTATGCGATGACTCGATCTCGATAAAGCCCGACGTATTAACCTTTTGCATGCGCGCCTTTTTACGTTTGATATTTATACTAGTGTTTTCCGTGTGAGCCACGTCTTTCTCGTTGGACGGCGGTGAAAGTGAAAGTGGTAGTGCGGCGGTCACGGGGGATCTTGCGACTGTTCCGCCGACGATAGCCTGTGCGGGTGGTGGGGAAACGATAACCGGTGTGCGGGCGGTCGATGAAGATGAGTCTTGAGGCGGGGGAGTAGATGTGTCCGCACGGCGGCGGCTAGTCGAGATGTACATCGGAGGCGAAAAATCTGGTTGTGCGTTCGGGGTAGTGGTGGGGGGTGCCCAGTTTATGACTGATGCGCGACCTAACATACATTATTAATATTAAGATAGCGTCGTTATTATTATTATTAATAAGAAAAAATGATTTACCCATTGCGCCGCCTATCCGTACAGCGTTGTGGTATTCGGGAGTGTTTTTAGCTATCACTATTTTAAAAATAATTTAATTAATAACCCCTAATTAAGCAAAACGTTGTCCCGAAAAAACACCATATGTGTAGAACTCTAATTTTTCATTACACAAACAACTGATTTAAAAATTAATAACTTATATTTATAAGATATGATAATAATAATTCTTATATACCTAATCGAAAACAAAAATTGTAGTAACTGTTATATTATAATATATATATTATAATTTATAATACTTGGTGTAAATATTATCAAACTTTATGATCAAATAGGTTCACCTAGAAACTAAATAGTCTATAATATTTCAGATTTTGAAAGCAATCGCATTTCAACTGTTTAACAATTTTGTAATAATAAGAGGTTTAAAATTTAAAATATGTGTAAAATACGGTAGTCAATATTCATAAGTCAGGTGTACGAATACGAGTTCAATAAACAAATAATAGGTAAATATAAAACAATATTAATCGTTGATGATTCTGTTTTCCGTTTAAATTTTTCTTGTTTATTATGAAGTTCAATTTCGATGCTAAAAATTACTTTTTAAGAAATGTTTGGCAATTTTATCGAGCAAGGTTTTAGGGGATTTACATCCAAATCTTTACTAAAAGAGTGAAATAATCAACAATATAGGTATGGCATAAAAACATGGTTTCGTACTTCATATAATACGGCTTATTAAAGCGGTTTACACTAAAAATACCTACTGTAAAAATTGTAGAGAAGAATTTTATCTAGAATCGCAAGAAGCCCGATTTTCGATATTTTTATTAATTAGTTAAATAATTAGTCGATAAAAAGTTTGAAAAAACTTGTTAATATAACATGCGATATTGGAATACGATATTAAAAATCGGTTTTCTTACGAATCTAGAAAAAAATCTCCTTTACAATTTTTATAATAGGTATTTTTACTGTAAAACCCTTCAAAAAGTCGCATTACTTAAGAGGGCGCACTAGTAGACAAAATATGGCATAAAAACATGGTTTCGTAATTCAAGTAATACGGCTTATTGAAGCGGTTTACAGAAAAAATACCTATTATAAAAATTGTAGAGGAGAATTTTCTTAACAATCGTAAGAAGGCCGATTTTCGATATTTTTATTAATTAGTTGAATAATTAATCGATAAAAAGTAAAAAAAAACGTGTTAATTTACCATGCGATATTGGAAGATTGGAACAAGGTATCAAAAATCGGGCTTCTTACGATTCTAGAAAAAATTCTCCTCTACAATTTTCGTAATAGGTATTTATACTGTAAAACGCATCACAACGCCGTATTACTTGAATTACGAAACCATGATTTTCGGTTAAAAAAATACGCTCGTCAATTAATTACGCTCGTCGTGTGCTGCGCCCATAAACAGCGGCAGCGTTCGTTACTAGACGTACATTTTACCATCACTCCGCGCCCGATAACGACAGTACCGCACCATAGGCCAAAACAGGTTTTCTATCGCAGCCGTGCGCCTGTACATAGTTTATAAATACCCAGATAAGAAAACGATTATTATATAATATTATTTTGTGACAAATATTATTTAATTTGGTTCGGTTTTATATTT